GGTACTTCTGTACAGACCTGGGCTAATTCGTTCTGGTGAAATCACATGACAGCATAAAAGCTGTTAAGTTAACGCAGAATTTAACGTTTTAGTCGACTTGAAAACGCAGAGAACATTTGTCTTTGCTGAGCTAACGGTTTTAAGCGCGTTTATTGGCAGTTGCCTAGTTGCTGAAGAGTTTCTTTGTGAGTACGATTATTATAAACGTTTTTCTCCAACTGAAATCTCACGCCCGCAACTAATAAACCAGTGGCTTTATTATAAATATTCACGATGGCCTCCGTAAAGAGCAAAGACCAGTGTGTCAGTTAAGAATCGCTATTTATCACAAGAGCAGAGGCTTCGGGTTCGATTCCCGGGGCTACCAGACTTTATGAGAAGTAGTGGGTCTGGAACGGGGTTCACTGAGCCTCGTAAGGATAATTGAGGAGCTATTTCAAGGAAATACCGGCTCCGGTCTAGAAAACCGAGATTAACGACTGTGGAGATCCGTTGCGCTGAACACGCGACACCCTCTATCCGCTAAAGTTCGCACTAACTTCGCCGACAAGCGGCGACAAGGGTCTAGTACCGCCGCTGCTATGCAAACGGATCTCTTGTTGCGGCGGGAATTCAACAATTCTGCCTCTGTTGCGTAGGCAGTTTCCTAGGTATCAAGCGTTATTGCCCGTTGCTCAGCGATGAATGTCCTATAGTCCGGCTTTCGGGCAGCACATCACAATATTTCGTACATTATATGCATATCTGACATTACATTTTCAGGGATTGAGATTAAATATGGTAAAAAACAAATAAAGCGCATCATAAAAAACATGACTAATAAAATTCTGTATATTTTACTGCGATAACACACGACACTGTTTCCCAGTGTCGAAATCTAAGCATCTTATAATGACGTAAATGACTGAATTTAACTACCTCCGCGATTATAGCTAGGCTCATCGAAATTTTTAATTCTTAATATGTCTAATTCGTCTCAAGACTGAACACATGGCCTATTTCGCGTACCTTTCATATTCTGACATCAGTGGTTATCTATGCAAAACAGCCACTTTCATTTCCCTCCCATTTCTAATAAGATGAACTGCAAAATGATAAATATTCCACTTCCAAACCTAGCTGTAAAATTAATCTATTATATATATTATTTTTTTCCAATGGCTCTTCAAGCCCATTCGGGGCCTAAACCTTTTATTCAGTCCCGTAATCATTTTTTCACAGATGATAAGACTCCGTGGACGGGGGATGAGCCCGTCGCAAGGCCGCTGCTTAAACACAGGAAAACACAAACACAGAATAAACGCATACACACACGAAACATTCAAGCCCTGGGTGGGATTCGAAACCAGCGTCCGAGCGAGTGAAGACAGTTCATGCCTTAGAGCACTCGGTTACTGTGATTGGCAAGATCTAGCATATTATTCAAGATAATACTAATACGGGTAACAAAAAAATTTATGTATTTTTAATTCTGTTCAGGGCTAAGGCAGATATATACAGAAGATACGGTTCCAATATCGCTAACGGATTCTACGTGTCGAAACCAAAATGCTTTTATAACTCTAACTACCTAACGGCGAGTCACGTGAGGGAACAAAACATGTTGTGATGAATACAACAATAAATATTCTGACGAGAACTGTTGGACAAACACTTCTTACAGACATTCTACAACATGGAATTTGCCGCATTAGACTTGCTGAAAAATTGAACACTAGATCTTCAACTTAAATTAAAAAGTAGGCCGCGCCATAGCTCAAGCGGTTAGTCGCTCGCCTCTCACCGCGGAGGCCCGGGTTCGATCCCGGGTCTGGTCAAGTGGGATTTGTGGTGGACAAAGTGACGCTGGGACAGGTTTCCTCCGAGTACTTCGGTTTCCCCTGCCAATGATTCCACCAATTGCTCCAGAATCACCCTCACCTATCATCTGGGGCTGGTACAATAGGCCACAAGTGGCCGCAGTATAAGGGACTTAGACCTACCTCACTAGCAATAAAAAAAATTAAGAAGTACTGTTGCTAACAAAGTAGTTTATTAATATTACCGACTGCCAGATCTTCAACACTTACGACAACTAATAATATAAAAGTTTCAGCGTAAATTTAGAAATACTTGAGTAATACTATCAAAACACGAACGGAAATGTTTTGGATAATGGTGACAGAACTGCGCCCCGCACCGCGGTTAACGAAGACTTAACTTCTTAAGATCAGTGTACGGGCGACGTGACGCTTCCGCCGATACGCGCCGGCAACTGCGACGCTTAACTCGCGTTTCACATTTCGGCGCCGCGATCCAGGGCTCATGCACCTCACGGCTTCATGAAGACACGCATTTAAGTTGATTGAAGTTAATGTTCTCTTTACAATAAGTTAATTGCGACAACGCTTTGTAAATTTTTCATTTCACAAAATAAATTAAATTTAAGTATAATGTCGTAATGTAGGCCTTCGTGGTATTTCATTTCATTTCCACACTGAAAACGGACATCAATTTAAAATTATTAGCAAAATCAATATGGATTACACATGCACATGTGAAACGAACGGCGCGGAAACATCTAAGAAACAGGACCGCAAATAAAACAAAGTAAAAAAAAAACTCGACGCTAATTGTTACGTGTTAGGCTATAAGTGTGCAAATATATAAAAAATTGGTATTTATCACGAATAAAAACTGCGACAGCCACAGAAGGGACATAAATGTTCAAAAGCAAGTCAGTTGAAGGTTTTCGTACATTTGTTCACGCAAACAAACGAAAGTTAATAAGAAAGCAGTCTTCTGGGATTTGGCACCGTGTATATGTGGTGTTAAGTGAAGTTTCGGAGGAACGTATCGCCTCCGTCTTCAGTGTAGAATGAAAAATATAAGAAATCCGCAAGCGAAGAGACCGTGAGAACCGGTAAAAGCAGACGTTCCTCCGAAACGTCAATTAACACCACATATACACGGTACCAAATCCCAGAAGACTGCTTTCTTCATAGTCACCGCCGTGAAAGCCTCAAAGTTAAGTTTCCGTTTTCCGAGATGTAAGTGAGACAAATATGTAAATAACGTTTACTATCAGAGTGCACGTGTAAGCTGGATACTCATCTGGCATTGTATCTACTCCTCATAATAATCAATAATTAAAAGCAACGTAATACGACGGGTCACGAGGTCTAGAGAATGCAGGAGAGAGAAGTTACTGAGACAGAAGCAATCGTTCTAAAAACTTAACAAGAACTGTGTTAGTGTTCAAACCAAAATACTGAAGTTAATTATTATTCTATATTAATGAGACTGAGAGAGTTAGCAATGCATTGCTTAACGGCAAAAACATATCCCAGTTTAAGAGAAGAAAAGTATGCTTCGCAAAATGCTGTTAATACCTTACGTGAAACGATCACCATGAAAATGACGAATCAGCAAGTTAACTCGACTGAACCCTAGAATATCATAACTGCCGAATTGTCGACTGCACCATTTCAGCAAGCAACTTGCACCTGTAACCATAAAACAATGCACTTACTCTTTCAATCTCACTGACCGACAGAAAACCGCAGAAGACATGTAATCGTAAATTTCGACAGTAACTAAATCAGCTGTTATTCTAGGAAAGAGTAAATAAATCAGATCTGTAACATGATTCGCAATATGTCAGCAAGTAAGTGCAAATAAGCGAAAGATTACATTAAAAACATTAAGTTGTGGACTTCAAACTCGAAAATTCATCCGATATGAAGACGAGAAACGAAGTATGTTGTGACCATTCTTTGTATGTGTTAAACAAACGCAATTAGGATGTATGTGAAACCAAGTTTCAGTCGTCACAGGCAACTTGTCAGCACCGGCAAACAGCCACGAACGCCAACACAAGTTACGAACCTTTTTAAAACGGAAATCACGAAGTACTTTTTAAAGCATATTATTGGCAGCTGGTACACTGAGTACAGTTTCTTACCACGCACACATTTTTATGACTAATATCACGTTTAGGAACACGTGACAACTGTCAAACATGTACGGATAGCGATTTCAATTTTCCTTATTTTTTTTTATTGCTAGTGGGGTGGGACTAAGTCCCTTGTACTGCGGCAACTTCTGGCCTATTGTACCAGCCCCAGATGATAGGTGAGGGTGATTGTGGAGCAATTGGTGGAATGAAGATTGGCAGGGGAAACCGAAGTACTCGGAGAAAACCTGTCCCAGCGCCACTTTGTCCACCATAAATCCCACTTGACCAGACCCGGGATCGAACCCGGGTGGGAAGCCAGCGACTAGCCGCTTGAGCTATGGAGCGGACACAACTTTCCTTAAGCCAATGCATTATTTTAAATCTTGTCTTTTAATTAGTAGCCCTACACACGAATCCTCAAGAAACGGTAAACTAGTCCCTAGAAACCTCATCACATTCGTTACGTAAGCATCAACTACTTATATACCCACAATGAATCAATAGCATTATATAAACGAAAAGTGGCTGTCAATGAAATTGTCGGAAAGGCAGTTGCCACCCATATAGGGGGCCCCAGGTGCCCAAGTTATTCTCAACCTCTGCTCGTATACAAAACTACAATCGTACTCTGTCACGAGCTGTCAATAGAAAATCCTAAATCGGCCGCATGGGCACATAACAATTGTCAATAATCATGAAATAAGACATAAAATATGTAGCAGTGGGAAGAACAAGGAGGAGTTCTGGGTTCATGTCTTGCCAACATGTAGGGGTCACACTAAGATTCGTCCTTAGAGGTCGAGAGGGATGACGTCAGAGGAACGCAGACTAATCGGAGAAGTCGCGCCCTGCCCCTCCCCCACCACTTCTTCAACCTTCCTCCTCCTCCACCTTTACCCGTTAGTCCCCCCCCCCTTCACCGCTATTCCCAGTCCGCGAAAAGTCCGGATGCTGGACCAGAGGTCTGTCCGTCTAACCGCTCGCGACTTTGAAAGGTGAATGAGTGACTTGATTCGCTCGGTCGGGTGGGGGCGGAAGAGGGGACAGGGGTCTAAAGTTTTACCTGCACTGGCCTCCAGCGCGGCTCCAGCATGCTCCTCTTGCCTTGTTGCGATCCTGTGAAGTTTGTGGCGCCAGCGAGTTGAAATCTGCTGTTGTTTCTCTTGCTTGCCAGCTGCGACTGCTTGTGGATCTCGCCGTGTCTGCCTGTCCCTGCCTGCCTGCTTGCCTGTCTTGTGAACTTGCCAGTTGCCGTGTAGTGGAGCGATCCGGCGCGTTCAGCACCACGCGGCCCGCCAGTCTCCGTCCTCGGAACACGTCGGTTCTACTCGGCAATGTTCGGTGCGGGGCCCAAGCTACATGACTGACCGTCAGTCTACTGAGCCACAACAACAAAACACACACACAGTCACGTTGCCCTCCTTAGCCTCTTCTGATGCACTCTCCGCTCCTCCCCGTGGCTCGTCCTCACACTTCCCTTCCTCCGAGATTCAGCACTTCAAATTCAGCAATGGACAGCAGCCACCCACTAGCCAGCTCACTGATTGACAGATCCAGAATAATCATAAACCAAATAACGGCAGGACAAACCTTGCGCCGACCACGCTACGGTACTCTCTGCGTGCCTGGTCTAGCGAGGGAGAAATGGTTGGCATGTAAGCACAAGCAGGCAGGCTGGCAGGGTACAGACCCCTGTCCCCCCATACCCGACCGACACTTGTTTACTCGGCTTGCGCTGATCAATACGGGCTCGCTGTTTGCTATCAGACAGAAACATACATGCTTATCGAGCACCGGAGCTGGGGAAAATAAATAGGTCCCGGCCTTCCCTTCCCTTCGCTTCCCTTTCCCCTTCTCGGGGCCCGGACTCGGCCTCAACCTCCTCTTAAACAAACCGTATTATTATACTCTCCCGCCCCACCCTCCGCGCTCCGCATCACCAATATACGGAGCGACACCGACAGAGATGTGCATCTGACAGCGCTGCAATTTTTCTTGGCACTCGTATGCCCAAACAATGGAGGCAAGGTTAATTAATTATACTATCTAACTGGTGAGAATCGTTAGGTTTTCAAAACTTTATTTACATCTTCAATTTTATTTCTCTTGCAAGATGCCAGACTATTTTCGAGTCGACGTATTATTATTATATTATCAATTTTATTTCTCTTGCAAGATGCCAGACTATTTTCGAGTCGACGTATTATTATTATATTATCAATTTTATTTCTCTTGCAAGATGCCAGACTATTTTCGAGTCGACGTATTATTATTATAATTCTGACCAGGATGGATACTTTTAATGTATTAGCCACGACGTAGTGGGGTGAGACTGAATCCACTTTGTACTACTGGCCTATTCTATCAGCCCCAGATGACAGATGTTGGTGAGTGTTGAGCAATTGGTGGAATGGTCGCGCCATAGCTCAAGCGGTTAGTCGCTGGCTTCCCAACCGCGGCGGCCCGGGTTCGATCCAGGGTCTGGTCAAGTGAGATTTGAGTTGGACAAAGTGGCATTGGGGCAGGTTTTCTTCGGGTACTTCGGCTTCCCCTGCCAATCTTCATTCCACCAATTGCCCCACAATCACCTTCACCTATCATCTGGGGCTGGTACAATAGGCCAGAAGTGGCCGCAGTATAAGGCTTCCTACTGCGGCTGCCCGGGTTTGGTCAAGTGGGATTTGTGGTGGACAGTGTGGTGTGGGGAGGGTTTTCTCCGAGTAGTTCGGTTTCCCCTGCCAATCTTCATTCCACCAAATTTTCCATCATCATAATCAACCGGGGCAAGCTACAATAGGCCAATCATTGGCCTGGACTCCACACCCACTAAGCGAATTAAAATTAATTACATTGGTGGAATGAAGATTGGCAGGTGAAACTGAAGTACTCGAAGAAAAACTTCCCCAGCGTCACTTTGTCCGGCACAAACCCCACATGACGGGACAGAACATGTTCCTACCAAGCGGTCACCCATCCAAGTACCAACCACGTTCATTGTTACTTAACTTTGGTGATTGGTCCAGAAGCTGTAATGTTAACATGGCACGACTATTAACCGTTTTTTATTTGTGCGTAATTGTTACTATAGACATGTGCGTTCCTTCCATAAATAACAAGATAGAAAATACGAAGAAAACTATAGTGAGAAGGAAAGGGGGAGGAAGATAGTAGAACGTAACGCAGATATGGAAAAAGAGTTATGTGGAAGGAAACTATTACGATACGAATAATAATAATGGATGGGGAGGAGAGAAAGAAGGCTTCCTCACTGTCAAGAAACTGAAGTTTGTTTGTATTTCGCCCAAAAGTGAGGTTAGAATCGGAAAAGTGAATAAGTGGGCTTATCCTGGCCCCGTAACTCGTACGATAACCTCGCAACCTGAAGGCGACGCACAGCCGTGTTACCGGCAGGAGCAGTTGTGGCCTGCACGCAGTCTGCGGTTCGAGCTTTGCAACTGGCTTGATTATCGCCTTAAAGTAATGAAGTAATTCACATGATATGCTTCACGTTCCTCTTCGTAACACACGTCTCGATACAGTGGATGAGTGCTCATGTTCATATTCTGCGAGAAAGTCGTATATGTAAACCCATACCTCTTATGGCGTTGTTCCCAGTACCCGCAAGCAAACAGTCCACTTCTCGCATCCCTTCCGTAATCTTTACATGCCACTCGAGGTCAGGCGATCTCAACGGTTCTAGCCCACCCCACCTTCCACTACAAGCTTATGGAGCTGGGAATGCGAGCGGTTCTGCTGAGCGGGTATATCTTAACATATATATGAAACTCAACTGTAATATTGGCCAGTAAAGCAGTAGTAATACGTCAAAGTCATGTTACGACCTACGGACAGTTGACAAGTTTTAGTGTCAAGCACCCATCTGGGGCCCAATATCATATTTTTATTACTCTCAGACAGTGGCGGGTTTGTTGATATGGGGCGCCCTCTCTGAGAGGAGAATAGGTCTGTCACATACAATCGCTGCTGGTCCTCGCCAGCGCAGTCATTCTCGGATAAGAGTCCCGCGGGACTCATGACCACATTTTACATTCTTAGATTCGAGACTGTCCTGACCACAGGAGGTTGTGTACGCTTCTCCAAGTATAATTAGAATGACCAAGTCAAGGAAGATGAGGTGGGCAGGGAATGTAGCACGAATGGGGGAGAAGAGGAATGCATATAGGATATTGGTGGGAAAGCGAGAAGAAAGGAGACCAATGGGAAGACCAAGGCGTAGGGGGGTGGACAATATTAAAATAGATCTTAGAGAGATAGGATGGTATGGTATGCATTGGATTGATCTGGCTCAGGATAAGGACAAGTGGAGGGCTCCTGTGAACACAGTAATAAAGCTTCGGGTTCCATAAAATGCTGGAAGTTCTTTAGTAGGTGCACAATTGGCGGCTTCTCAAGAAGGGCTCAGCTCCATGAGACGTGAGGCTCCCCTAACCCGGAGGGCCAGGTCCCCAGGAACAAGGTGGCCCAGTTATACCCAGGCACCGGGTTCCTTTTTTGTTGCCTCCTACGACTCGCAGGGCTACAGTGAACCCGCCTCCACGCTGGGCCATTGGTAATAAAATTGGTGGGAACTTCAAATTATTCAAAGACAGCGGTTTCTGAAAATATTCATGTCTTCCGAAAAATTGTAGCCACATACTGAGATGTGGGGGAGCACAGATCTGGGGGGGGGTCTGATTCCGAACAGTAGGTTTAAGAATATCAATTCAGAAATTAGTATGCAGATGACGGTGGGATGCAAGATTAAAACTCAGTGGCAGAAAGGAGAAATATATATGATTAAATACAAAGATAAATGTGCAAGGATGGTAAGAAAGGGCAAGAGAGAAGTAAAAATCAATCAGGAGGAGTAGTGATCAGCAGGGGTAATTAAAATGTTGATGTGTAACAGATGAGTGCTATAGGAGCTGCAATTTAAGCGATGGTGAACCAAAGAATCTAATTCAGGCATCCAAAAATGTAAATTTTAACGGACCTAACAGGGCAATCAGAGCGGTCTAAGGCATGTACTGTCTTCGCTCCCTCGGAAGCCGGGATCGTGGGTTCGGATCTGTTTCCTGTGAGGTACGAACCGAATTCTTATATATTATTCTTATACACTGCCGGTCACGGTAGCCGAGCGGTCTAAGGCATGTACTGTCTTCGCTCGCTTGGAAACCGGGATCGTGGGTTCGGATCTGTTTCCTGTGAGGTACGAACTGAATTCTTATATATTATTCTTATACACTGCCGGTCACAGTAGCCGAGCGGTCTAAGGCATGTACTGTC